TGTCTAGAAATGTGTTAATGACACATTCTCTCTTTCATGCAGATTTAGCTTGATCACAGCCTGTTATCTATTAATTTCTGAAGTGGTTCAGTCAATGTGCCACCAGCCAACCAACACAAATAATTAAACTAATTTAGCAAAGATTTCTATTAGCCGTTTTAGGGGGGCGTGGCAGAGTCTTAACTTTGATAAAGAATATCTCTTTGGTTTTGAGACTTTAGTCTTTGCAACTTCAGGGATCTTATCTATGCACAATCAGCTTGTAACACTCCAAAGAGAAAGGAAAACTTGAAATCGCATCATATGACCCCTTTAACATCCAGAAAGTTACTTTAATTTGAGGGAGAATGATGCTTAACTTAATATAAAAAAAATATCTACACATTGTCCTAAAATACACCAAGAGAGAAAATATACAAGGAAAAGTGATCACCAAATGAACTGACTTTTTCCAGTAAGGATTTTTAACACACATACACAACCATAGGCCTCTCAGGTGTAGGCCAAGCTTAGCTACGCTGTTAAAATGTTTGTTGTTATTAGCACAGATTAACTGCTGAGTGTTCTAATCTACCTGTGAAACAATCAGCAACATCTGTTTCACAAAGGCATAATTAAACAACACCAACAAACAGTGTTTTGTGCGTGGAGAGGAAATGGAGATTTGTGTGCAGCAGGTGTCTGGAGAAGCAGCCCAATTAACAGAGAAAGTGATTATGCTTTCTAGCTAACCTCGCCTTGGAGTAGTTTTACTTTCACCTTTATATATGTGCCACGCTACGCATGATTTTGGCACTCTCAATGTCAGAATCAAATTGACGCGCTGGGCCATCGTATTTACTTTCCTCATTTTTACTTACCAAGAAGTACAGTATGCTTTTTTTCAGAGCTAATATAACAAAATGGTGCACATTAGGTGTTTAATTAATGCTTTATGTGTTTTATTTTCTTGTGCTCTCTCAGAGAATGATGGGAAATGTAGTTCTGTAGCCAAGCCTGTCATCTCACAAACCAGCTAAATGAGTAGTATTTTTGGGGAATCTTTAAAGCAGTGTGCAGTGCATGCAAACCAAATTGTTCAGTCAACATTCGCAATTTAAACTTAATTATGACCAATGCTAATTTGCTTCTGCCAGGATTCTTTAATTAACATGCCCCCAAACTCAATGAATATCCAGAGTTTCCCCACTGGTAATTACGACATTCTGGTGATGTTCATGCATGCTATTCTCATAAGTACAATCGTTTTGATAAGACTTGAAGGTAGAATAAATGCAATAGATTTATTAATATCTAAAATGAATAATGCATTGCTGAATAGAGCAGCATTCTAGTCATCAGAGGTTTGCCCTAGTTGTGGTAGAATGTTTATTCATTTGTTTTGTTTTTAGCCACTTAATAGCAATAGTAGACAGTGGATGAGAAATGATGAAGATAGTTCACCCAAAAATAACATTTCTGTCATCATTCTTATGTTGTTCCAAATATGTATGACTTTTAAAAAGAAGATATTTTGTAAAATATCTTTTTATTGTCTATACCAGGAGTGCCCAAACTCGGTCCTGGAGGGCCTGTGTCCTGCAGAGTTTAGCTCCAACTTGCCTCAACACACCTGGTGGGAAGTTTTTAGTATGCCTAGTAAGAGCTTGATTAGCTGGTTCAGGTGTGTCTAATTGGGGTTGGAGCTAAACTCTGCAGGACACCGGCCCTCCAGGACCGAGTTTGGGCACCCCTGGGCTATACAGTGAACGTATTGTTCAGGACCAGTGTTTTTTAAGTATTTACTGTTATAGTTTTTTTAATATTGTAAATAAAATATGTTTTATTAATATTAGTGTCCTTGTTACACGTTACATGTAATTACTATAGTATTAGCACAAAATTATGCATAATTACATGCAATAACCTTAAACCAAACCCTAATCCTAAACTTAACCCTATAGTAAATACATGTTGTTAATTGATATTACTCAGTAATTAAATGTATAATTACACTGTAACAAGGACACTAAAGTGTAACCATTTTATTTATTTTATTTTATTTTACTTTATTTTATTTTTAGTTAATGTCTATTTTTTATTTCCACCTATACTACCGTTCAAAAGTTTGAGGCCTGTAAGATTTTTTTTTTTTAAGTCTTTTATGCTCAGCAGGCTTTTTAAAATAAAAATACAGTAAAAACAATAATATTGTGAAATATGATTACAATTAATATTAATATACGATGTAATATATTTTAAAATGCAATTAAAAAAACATTTATTTATTTAATATTCTTATGATGCTGCTTAATTTTGGGGGGCAATAATGATAAATTTTTTAGAAATCTTTGATGAATCGAAAGTTCAAAAGAGCAGCATTTATTTTAGATAGAAATCTTTTGTAACATTATAAATGTCTTCACTGTCACTTTAATGCTTCTTTACAAATTTAAGTATTCATTTCTTTAAAAAAGAAAAATCTGACACCAAAAATTTGAACAGTAGTGTATGCCTTTTAATACTGATGGAAAACTGTAGGTTGGTGGACCTGAAGCGGTGTCTGTTGCGTGCTGCCTGTCTCTCACGGCCGCGTCTGGGTGCCGTCTGCCGTTTTATTGCATCAGAGGCGGTTTACAGCGTGAAATGAAGAGCAGCTGTAATTGCTGCAAGGCATTTATTCATCTCTCACAAGAGATTGGCTCATAAAGAAACACATATCTGCCTCGGTCTCAATGAGCACAGACAGATACACTCGCATACAGATGTTGCTCAAGGTTACGTGGGTGCCGTGTGCGTTAATAGAACAATACAGAGCATCTCTTCCTATTGTCCAGGAAGCGTTATTTGTCTTTCTGGTTGATGAGGTGCTTGGATGACTCTAAGGGTGCTCATATTGATATCCAAGCTAACATTCCCTCTCTTCGGCCTCCTCTCTCCATATTACTGCTATAAATCCTGCGCCGGCTGATTGTTATGGTCATTGTGTGTGTGGTGAGGGATGGTTATTATCCGTAGTTGCTGGTATTTTATGTGTCTCTTTTCTGTTCTTTCTCTTTCTCTCTTGCAGGGTCCTGATCACTGTGTTAAATGTCTTCACTTTAAAGACGGACCCAACTGTGTGGAGAAATGCCCTGATGGCCTACAGGGAGCAAACAGCTTCATCTTCAAATATGCTGAGGCCAACAATGAGTGTCACCCCTGCCATGTCAACTGTACCCAGGGGTATGAAAGTGTTTGTTAAATGTTTGCAATTTGTGAATGTGTGTGTGGGAAATATATCTGTAGCGGTCCAGCTACTTCCTGTGCTTGTTTGCCACGTCAGTTCTAGCCTCAGGAAGTTCGCATAGCCTATTTGTCAGTGCACTGACCCTTTTTTACAGCATTTGTGTCCTCGGAGCTGGCTGTGCATAAAGCATCATTAATTTTAGAGGAAGGAGTTTGCCCTTGCTGCGTCTCTGCCATCCAACTTTAGTCTAAATGATACCCATCAAGCTCTCCGAATTTATCCGGCTGGGCACCTGCAACTTAACCTCAGCCCCTTGGGGTTACATGAGAGACGGCTCAGATTTCCTGCAGAAAAACATTATCCGCTCAAGGAATCTTCACACTGAGTCACGGATTCACTTTTCTGCCTTCCTGTGTCACATGAAAGCCCTCAACTGCTGACTGTTGTATCTGGGATCTCTGTCAGCCAGGGATGATTAGTGACGTTGAGCTTTGAAACGATAGAGGCGAGCTGACAAACCGACAAAGCTGTGAGCATCAGGATGGAAGGGCAGGAACTCAGACGTCAAGGAAAAGACAGAAGAGACAGGGTTATTAAAATAGGCCTAGCACTGATAGATTAGTGATGAATTGTGGCAATATAAAATTAAGGAGGATTGAGATGATTTTAATGTATTTTTATTTGATCGTTAAGTTGCCTAAAGATATTCATTTGATTAGATTGACAATCTTTATTCGTCTTGCGAGTATGAGAGGGTTTAGATGGAGGACTTTGATGTAAACAGCATCTCTGATTTAAACTTCAATAGGAAGAATGTTGCTGTTAGATGCTGTATGATTTGTTTTTAAGAATATTTTCAAACTGTCTTTTTCAATTAATTGATTCTTAGTTTAAGACCCTGATACAGTAATTCATGTGTAAATATCAAAAAAGTTCATTGGAGACATTGCATGAATTTTTTTTATTTTTATTTTGTTTTTTTAAATATTTTATTAAATAAATGTTCTAAGTGCAGCACTTGTATTGCTATAAAGACCATACATGTACAGGTATAAATAGTTACATACAGATATATAAATATGGATACTTTTAAAATATAATACTTTATACATATATATTTGTATCTGTCTATTTATATATGTGTGTATGTGTGTGTATCTGTGTATGTATGTACCAAACCATATGTTGGGGACAAATTTGTACCTAGAAGTGGTCCTTTTTGGAACATCCTCATTTGTATAAATGGTATAAAATGTACATTAAAAAAAATACAAATGTTTTAAAATGGAAAAAATGCAGAAGGTTTTCTGTTAGAGTCAAGTTAAATAATTTATAACCAGTGTTGGGCAGTAACGCATTACTTAGTAACGCGTTACTGTAATTTGTTTACTTTTTTAGTAATGGAGTAATTTAACGCGTTATAATTTTCAAAATAGTAATTAGAGTACAGTTACAAGCCGAGGTCTCTATACGTTACTGACGCGTTACATTAACAGGACCTCGTCTGCAAGACTGCATTGGCATGATGGACAGGTACACACATTTTTATACATATTTGAGTGTTTTTCACCTTTAATGGACAGGACAATAAGAGAACAGAAAATAAACATTGGTTGGGTAGAGAGGGGTGCATAACCAGGAAAGAATCAGGAGTCGGGACTCGAACTAGTGTCACCCGCGACTCCAGTAACACGCATTTTTAATATAAAATAATTTTAATTTTACATACTACAAGTCTAAACTCGAACAGCAATTATGTCCTGTAGCAGCACTACTTTCACACACACACACATATACTACACATACACAGTGACTTCTACTGTCAGAAGGTTTACAAGGTCAAAATCTTGGCACCAGTTTCTCTCTCATCTTTATTTTCTGTCTCGCTTGGCCTCCCTTAAGCCATCATTTATTCATGGCATCTATTTTGGTGTTCTGCCCAATGTCCAGCACTTGATTCTAGTCACACTGGCATCAATAGAGAATCACTGTGTCTGGAGATCCTTGACACCACACACAGTTATGTCATAGCAGAAATTTAGTTGCAAGGCTTCTATACACAAGCAAATGTCTAAGACTACATTGGAAATCTCTGAAAAAAATTTTTTTTTTTAAATTAAAATTTTCAAAAGTTGCAAAGAAAAGCACTGATAGAAATAATTGTAATTTTAATATTTAATAGCTAATTTAATGTTTTAATTTTTTTATTTAAATTTTTAGGTAACTCACTTAAAAAGCAAATTTGTGATTTTGATCAAGTTTTCATTCAAACATTGTTATATTGAATGAGAAAAGCACACAAAATAGAAGAATTTCACTAGTAGTTTCCCACTGTACAGTACAACGCTCTTGGTTTGTCAACCCCAGCTGCATCTGATTGGCTCATTCCTGCGCTGATGACATCATTAACACACATGGCTCATTGTTTTAACACCAGCTGCCTTTCAACATACAGCTCTGCTTTAGCACAAGAATGCGAGATGGGGAAAAGGAACGTTATATAATGACCAGGCCACAGTTCTGTGATTAATGTGCTGCTGTGAGGCCTGCGCGTGTGTTTGCGCACACATTTGCTTCATGGCATATTTGATAAATTGATATCACTTTCTTTTGCTCTCATGGGAGAGCTGGAACAAAATACCATTAACTGCTCAGAGCAAATGCGTTTGCTGTTTCAGATCTGCCATTATGTTACACACAGTCCTGGCAGGGCAGAGAAGCCGAAGCTAGAAATCATTTGTCTCTGCCTCAGACGTCACAACCACAAATGGTTCACGGACTACTTGATGCATATTGAAAACAACTAGGGCAAAAGCTTCTCACAAGCTTCAGTCTGATTGTCTCTCTTTAGATGCTTGCAGACAGGGCACATACGTTTATGTCCACTGGGATATTTAGTCTTGTTTAGACGTTCTTCATTGAACACTTCTAATGATGATTTTTGGCCAGAATAAGCTGTAATGTGGACCAGGCCTTATATGAAGACTATTCGATTTCTCTCTTACACACATACACATAGTTCTGTTCTGTCATAATAGTGTGTTATAGAACAAGAGTGTATGCTGCTTGTTTGGACAGACTATCAGAGTAAAGGCTGCAGGGAGTAATCCTGATAAAACACAGTGCTATCCTTGGAGACCAAACAAGCTCAGGAGAGAGGTGAACATCTAGTGTGGACTAGGTAAGAGGCGAGTGATAGCCAACATTCACAACAGCCTGTAGAGTCAGATAAAGATGATGTCTTTACAACAAAAAGCATGAGTGACCATTTAAAGATATTTGTATATTTATCCATACATTGAAAGTATATTTCATTTATGATTTCTTATTTTAATTGTGTATGGGGTGCTGTGTGTACATTAATGAGGAAAAAAAATTAACTTAAATGATTTTAGCAAATGGCTGCAATATAACAAAGAGTGAAAAATTTAAGGGGGTCTGAATACTTTCCGTACCCACTGTATATGTATATATATATTACTACTTCTATCTACTTCTATGTACTGTCACAAAAGACATACATTGTCGACATGCATTTTCATTCAGAAGTCTCTTATGTTGGCGATGTCTGCATTGATTTGATCAAAAATACAGTGATATTATGAAATATTATTGCAATTTTACACAACTGTTTTTCTGTTTTGATACATTTTAAAATGTAATTAATTCTGTGATGGCATAGCTGAATTTTCAGCAGCCATAACTTCAATCTTCCGTGTCACATGATCCTTCAGAAGTCATTCTAATATGCTGATTTGGTACTTAAGAATCATTCCTAATTATTATCGATGTTGAAATAAGTTGTGTTGGCTAATATTTTTGCGAAAACAGTGATACCTTTTTCAGGATTTTTTTGATGAACAGAAGGTTCACAATAACAGCATTTATTTGAAATAGAAATTTTAAATGTCTTAACTCTCTCTTTTAATCAGTATAGTCAATCCTTGCGGAATAAAAGTATTAATTTCTTTAAAAAAAATTTAAAAAATTTAAAAAAACTCACAAACATCACACTTTTGAATGGTTGTATATTGTTTATATCTTATTTAAAATGTTATAAATATATAATATTTTTAATAGATAGATAGATAGATAGATAGATAGATTATATCACATTATTAAATTATGTATGTATTCTTTTTCTTCTAATATAATACAATTCCACATAAGTAGGATGGGTGGGTTGTGTCTTATCTTGTCTAGGACATCAGAATCTCCACCAGACTTTCAAAGATCCCAGTTTAAGCTCTCTGTAATGTGTATTCTAAGTGTTTCTCTCCAGACTCTCTCTTGCACATTTGGAAAAGACATGGCAGGTTACATAAAACAAGATGTCAGACATCCTGTCCTCCTTCCCCTGCAATATACGGCAGTGCCACGCTACGTGCTGACAGCAATGCAGCATCAACATAATTGCCTGCTCATTGTCAGTGCGAGAGAAGCTCCCTCACGCATGTGGGATCTATACACTCGCACAGGCTTCGGAGGGTGATGGTATGCACTTGGCTATGGTCTCCGTGGCTCATAAGCTTTGTATTGTGACTGCAGATCAATATCGAATTAATGGGAGAGATTCTCATCTCACCCAGAGATAATCTAGCAGTCTATCGCTCATCATGCCTGGGCAATGCTTCACTGTCCTCGCCTTATTGGGTGGGATTTCATTTCTATTCTACAAACTTACAGTTCTAAATTTATACAGAAGGGATGACCTAACACAAACACCTAATTTGAAGGCACTAAACCCTTCCTTACAGAGCTATACTCACAGGAAGCAACTGGACAAGCACAACAGAATAGAATAAAACGGAATGGTCCCAAGATGCATTTTAAGCCCAGGCTTGTTGCCAGTCTGCCGTAATTAAGATATTAAATGTGCTGTAAGGGATTTGTTTTATTGAATAAAACATGTCCTACAACCTGTCAGATATCACTGAAATAAGTGCCTTGAGAAATTATTATTCTGTAAAGTGCAAAAGCAAAAAAAATAAAAAAAATTAGGCCAGTCTGCACTTGTCTAGGCAATCAGAAACATTGTGTCTGCATAAAAACGTAGTTATTTTGTATTTAATGTGATATTTTAAAAAAAATGCAGTGTTGGATCCAACTTTGAGATGTAAAATGCCAAAGATGCCCATCTAATGTGTGTTTATCTAGACAAATAATTAAAAAATAGCACGGTTGGAACATAAGCACGTTCTGTGTGTATACAGCTTACATCTTCTTCTTTTTTTTTTCTGAAAAACTAAAAAGAAGACTTTATACTTGGGGCCTGGGACAATTTTTTGTCCCATCCTTCTGACTCTATATCTATGTGATGTTAGAAATAAGGATAAAGAGGTGCAGAGACAATTAGAAAGTAAGATTGGCAGTCTGAAGAGTTGGATCTTAATGAAAGGCCTGTGATAGGACAGCATGAGCTTTGTATTGTATGCAGTCGGTGCTGATTTAGTGCTGCCTTCTTCCATGCTAACTGAATTAGGCCTTTCATTAATGCTAAGGGGACACTTTCTGATAGAGATTCAAACTGAAAGCTCAAAGTACAGCCCAGAGAAGGCTGATGCAAGATGACAGCAGTTGGGAAGGCTTTTTGCAGGCGCATCCACCCAAATATCTCTTTTCTGTCTGAGAGGCAGGCTTTGTTCAGGTTCCTGCTCATTTGTGGGATATTGGCAATTCTCAGCCCCCTTCTCTGACTGGCTTTCTCTACTGATCTGTTCTGTTCTTTTGTTCTCCTATAGTATGTATGTCAGTGGCTCTCAACTATACAGACAAGTCTGTTGACTGTTGAGTTTTTCTGAATATGTTCAATTTAGTAAACAAACAAATAATAAATAAATAAATGCACTGGTTAAAAAATTGGAATGTTAATGGAATATTAATACAATTTAAGTACCAGTTTTCTATTTGAATGTTTATTAGAATAATTAAAATGATTTCTGAAGGATCATGTGATACTGAAGACTGGAGTAATGGCTGCTATAAATTCAGCCTTGTGATTGCACAAACACATTTTAAAATATATTAAAATACTGTTCTTTTAAATTGCAATAATATTACTGTTTTCACTAGATATTATGCCTTGGTGACCATAAGATATTTCTTTCAAAAACATTAAACTTTTGTAAATAATTACATAAATACATTCATGTTTTTGTATTTATTTATACATTCCCGTGTTTAATTTTAAGGAAGTCTGATATTAACATATCTTGGTCATGACGCAGAACTAGTTACGAAGCACTGGTTTATGTGTTATGGGACCAATTACCTAGTACTTTATTGTTATTGCTTATGGCTAATGTTTGTTTTCTCCCATGTGTTTCCCTCAGGACTCCCCTCATTGCAGCTGGGGTTATTGGAGGATTGTTTGTGGTGATTATCGTGGGCCTGAGTGTTGCCATATCAGTGAGGAGGAAGAGCATCAAGAAGAAGAGAGCCTTGAGACGCTTCTTGGAGACTGAGGTTAGACACAGTCCATCTTCTTTTACTATTTTTTTGTTCAATCTTGGATTCAGAAAACAGACAAAAAGACTCCTAAAGACTCTTCTCTCAGACAATTCCATTGGGCCTGAAAACACACTTACTGTCTTTCCTTTTTATTTACACTTTCTCTTTCTATCCATCCTCCTAATACGTAGTTTATTTTTCATATTGGGATAATAGCATCTCTTTGGACCTTTTTTAAAGTGATTGTGTATGTTAATTAAATAAACATTAATGAAAAATTGTGTCCTTGATAGTGTGATGATGGCCTCACTTATGGCTTTTTTTCCCTCTTAATGCTTACTGTCTTTCCTTTTTGTTTACTCATTCTCTTTCTATCCATCCTCTTGATATCTTGATATTTATTTTTCATATCACTGTGTGGGTGGAGGGTTCATAAGGTTGCGCAAGGATCCCGCGTTCCTGTGCCCGAAGGTTCTGACCCCTCCTCTTCATGCATGCATATATCCGTATGGCCTCAGGCTTTGAATGGAGAGTATAACGCTCTCCTCAGACACTCCAAAGAATAATCTGGAGCAGACCCACGCATGCCACTTAAGGAAGCACATGTGTGTGAAAATGGACATCATGTATGCCAATAACCCATATGGTCTTGAATGTCCCAAATCTCCATTTTCACCAGAATAGGGTGTTTCCATCACTATAAAATCATATTACGTTGGAGCACTACAATGCTGCCAAGGTTTCAGCACCACGGACAGTTCCTGATCTGTGTTTCAGCACCGTCTGCAGCGGACAGCTCCCCCGGATCACAGCTCATCCTCCCCTGGCTCTCCTCTGCCTTCTGTGTCCGGGCTCCTGATTTACAATTCCATTTAAATGAAGAAGCGCTATTGTTTTTTAATCAGGCGGCTGTGATGAGCCGGGGGACGCCGCAAAGGGTCGATAGAACGGCTGATTTACGCTCTCTCTCTATCTCTCATTCTCTCTTATGCTTCCCAATCTCTCTCCTACACACTCTCCGTTCATATTTTTATCAGGTTAACCTCCTTTCTTTCTGCCTTTCTTTCCTGTATCTTCTCTCTTTGCTTTTTCCTCTTATCTCTGTCCCCCTCTCTCTCGTCGCATTTCAATAGTTCCTTTATCGCCAGGGGTTTTTATGCATTGATTGAACTCCCAAACTCTGATATGCGCTACATAATAGCACAGAAAGACTAAATAAATTACAGGGAATTCATACACTATGGTCTGTGCTCTTCAATTTATTTGAGTTAGGGCCGAACGTTCACTGATTACCCAGATTGATTGTAGCATCTCTGACGGCGTCTCCCTTCCTTTGCTTTGTGTGTCTCAGTTGGTGGAGCCTCTGACGCCCAGCGGTGCGGCCCCGAATCAAGCCCAATTGCGCATTCTGAAAGAGACCGAGCTGAAAAGGGTGAAGATCCTGGGAGCCGGGGCCTTCGGCACCGTTTACAAGGTAAATGACATCAAAGCACAGAGACAGAGGGAACTTAAGAAAGATTTGTGCAGCCCATATATTTTGCTAAGGACAGCATAGTTACAGTTGCTCCTGTATTTCTTGGGGTTTATCAAAATTCTTAACGCTAGCTATTGAATTTTTGCACACATTGACATGAAACATTATCATTCAAAAGTTTGGTTTCAGTAAGATTTATTTATTTGTTTATTGGTTGGAAATTAATACTTCTGTTTAGCAAGTATGCATTAAAGTATGCATTAAATTGATCAAAAGTGACAGTAAACTATTTTTTTACAGTGACACAAAAAAAACTACCATCAAAAGAATAAAATTTAATTTTAAAACATGAAAAAATGAATATTTTAATGGTAATGATATTTCACAATACTGCTGTATCTATCAAATAAATGTAAAAAACATGTTTTTTTTATTATTATTTTTTTTTTATGTTTTAGTGCATCAAGTTAAACTAAATTAAAATGAGAAATTGTGCTTTGGCAACTAGCTGAAATAAAGGTTTTTGTTTTTTTGTTTTTTTTTTTGTGAACTTTTTTCCCGATTTAATAAAAATAATAATTTTTCTTTTTTGGTTACCCTGATAAATAATAACCCTGATAAATGCAGCCTTGGTTAGCATTAGAAACTTCTTTCAGAATCATTAAAAACAATCTTACCAACCCCAAACTTTTGATCTGTAGTGCACTTCAAATCAAAAACAAGTGGACAAAATCAAATAGACTTACTTTGAAGGAGATATTTGAAGATAGTCTTTTTTAAACCATTAACAGCCAACCATCCAAAACACCCTAACAGCCACCAAGAACACCTTAGCAATGTATTAGAAACACAACAGAAATCCTTCACTTTAATGAGTTTTGCTTGAACATTCACATTTTCTTCAGTAAAAAATAACAAGTAAATTTCCACCCAATACCTCTAAGAAATATCTTTTTTTGTGATTTCAGGGCATCTGGGTACCTGAGGGCGAGACTGTGAAGATTCCCGTTGCCATAAAGATCTTGAACGAGGCGACAGGCCCAAAAGCCAATGTAGAGTTCATGGATGTGAGTGTCACTCTGTTGCAAGGCTTGCAGCTGTAGTTTGTGTAATTCCACTAAGCGAATATTCAGCTCTTTAGTAGTTCAAAAGGAAAAATGCATGTAAACCTCAAATTGGCCCATCCTCTTAGATGATGCAAGGACTATGAAACACTTACCAAAGGACTTTCACACCCATGATGAGTGCAATCTAAAACAGGCTATTTCTGCGAGCATGTTCACGTTTGCTCACTTGCATGTAGATGCGGCTCCGTTTTGATCTTAGCTCCGCATGTGTTTGTCTTGAGTGAGATATCTGTGCATATGTACATGCATTAGAGTGGTCTCTCCATGACTCCCCCATGTAAGGTATTTCCCACAATTCATCAGTGTTAATGGGCATTTCACTTTCAGAATATTCTTAGGGGTTTGCAGATGAACAGATCCACTCATACTGCGCTCAAACCACAGAAGCGCATGAAGGCGGATCAGACATGTAGACGCTGACCCCCGCTGTTGATTGGGCGAGCAGCGTGCGCATACGCAATCATCTCAGCAGCTGGAGAATAGCAGGAGCGTGAATGCTCATTATATAACTGTCAAGTGTGTAATTTTATGTAGTGCTCAGATAATGGATTTGTGTGTGTGTTTGCGAATATAGGATGTGTGTTACACACTGTTTTAGCTTTTAAAATGTTCAAACAAATGTAAGAGGATCCCTCCAAGGCCTGAAATCATATTAATGGCAGAGGCATCTTTTATTGCGATAATATAACCTTATGGCGCAAGGTTTGGATATTATTTTTGAATTATCCCCTTAGCTGTTTGTGGAAATTATATGTATTTTTTACGTTCTGTATTTTCTTAGTCCCTGATACTTTTATACCCTTTGCCATCTTTTGTTTGGACCACAGGTTAAATATGTTGAATTTAAACCGGAATTAGGATCGTAAATGTGCTCTCGTTTAGTGAGATGCTTCACGCACATTTGTAATTTTTTACTAGATTGCTTGATCGTACTGTACTGAAAGTAACTGAAATAGACCTATGACTCTTTCAGAATATAATAGATGGTCATTTTCAGCATGTAAGTGTGCAGTGTTAATGATTTATGGGTAATAAGACTGCCTTGTAGATCCTCCAACTTATGCAAGTGTTGTGAAACAATGTGAATAAATCCTGCTCTCATTTCGCAGACTGTAACTATGGGGCTGTTTCACAGATGAATCTCAGTGGGACGTCATGGCTGTGTATGTGTTTTTACATGCATGACAAGAAGTGTTTCAGAACCAATCTGTGATAAATTGTCTGCAGACTCTGCACTGATTCTGTTTGTAAATGTAGGCACTTTTGAAAATTGAAATTGAAACTTCCTGTCATTTGGTAAATATAAGACACTTAAATTAACACTTTTATTCAACAAGGATGCATTAAATTGACCAAAAGTGACAGCAAAGACAAAAAATTACCGTTTAAAATAAATGCTGTTCTTTTGATTCTATTTATCAAAGAATCCTGGAAAAATGCATCATGGTTTCCACAAACATATTAAGCAGTGCAACTGTTTTCAACACTGATAATATTAAAGGGATAGTTCACCCAAAAATGCTAATTCTGTCATTAATTGCTCACCCTCATCTCGTTCCAAACCCATAAGACAATTGTTCATCTTCGGAACACAAAATTAAGATGTTTTTGATGAAATCCAAGAGCTTTCTGTGCCTGCATAGACAGCAATGCAACTGACACGTTCAAGGCCCAGAAACGTAGTAAAGACATCGATAAAATAGTCCAGGTGACATTAGCGTTTCAACCGTAATTTTTACGAAGCTACGAGAATACTTTTTGTGTGCAAAAAAAAACAATTCAACAATTCTCTTCCACATTAGCATCCACCGCCATTCATGAGCGTACCATGACACATGCGTGTGAAGTACTGTTTTATAAGCACCAAATTTGCATATTAGAAAGATATCTGAAGGATCATGTGACACTAATGACTAGAGTAACTTCTGCTGCAAATTCAGCTGTTTTGTCGCAGAAATAAATTACATTTTAAAATATATTAAAATAGAAAACAGGTCAATTAAATTTCAATAATATTTCATATATATATATATATATATATATATATATACACACACACACATTATCCATTAAGAGAATTAGCTCATTGAATGCGTTTACTTGAAAGAAGAGCACAGTTTAAAGTGTTTTATTTACATCCTGTGAAATCGATTGTTTCCTGTGCTCTGAGTTCCTGTTTTTGTTCCCTCCAGGAGGCTCTGATCATGGCCAGCATGGAGCATCCTCACCTGGTGCGGTTATTGGGTGTGTGTCTGAGCCCCACCATTCAGCTGGTCACTCAGCTCATGCCCCACGGCTGTCTGCTGGACTACGTGCATGAGCACAAAGACAACATCGGCTCCCAATTACTGCTCAACTGGTGTGTTCAGATCGCCAAGGTAAGACTTAACTATTGAACTCAGCATTACTCATGGAGACCACTCTTACAGTATATATCTTATCTATTTATGGCCTTTGATATGGCTCATGTTTTTATCAAAAGTGCTATTAATTTCTTTAGATGTGAGACTTAAAGTAGAAAGAAATGACCTACTGCATGTTTTTTTTTTGTCTGCTGTGTAAACTTGCATTAAAACACTGTTCAGATGTTCGCTCAATCTCTTTTCCTCCCAGTCATGCAGCGAGCATCGTTTTGCCATATTTCTTTGATTTTGGACCCCCACCCCGTCTGCTGTCTGTACCACTCTGTTTATCTTCCTCCCACTCCAATGGTGGTCATATTTCCTCATCTCTGTTTCTCCCAGACTAGGAGTGCATGTGAATGATCTCAGAGCAGCAGCACCTCAAAGGCTGCTGGGATAGATAAGCAGCGCACAAGCACGCTCTGTCTGATCTGAGCTCCATGTTGTAACTGGGAGCTTTGCTTTGTGTCACTCGAGAGGAAAACTTCTGACACCTCTGTGATGCAGAACTGTACAGTATATCAACTCTGTGTAGGGGGTTTGAAAAACAATGATTTAACACAACAGTAACAAAGCAGCTATTTCAGGAGTTATTGTTTACAAAACATTCTTAAAAGCAAAGAAAAAAGGGCTCTTGAATGCGAATGCACCAGGTTATACAGGAGTTGCATCACAACAGGTGGTAGTTGACATGACAGTTAAAGCAGTGACTGCTATGTACTTCAACTAAAACTTATAAAGTATTCGCAGCCTGAATGGTGTTTTATGATTTTACAAAGACAGAGATGAAAAGAGGGTACATAGAGTACCTTTTTTAAAGTTTGGGGTCGGTAAGGCTTTAAAAATATTTTTTAAAGAGGTCTCTTACGGTCACCAAGACTGCATCTATTTAATCAAAAAATACTGTAAAAACTGTAATATGTTGAAATATTGTTACAATTTAAAATAACTGTTTTCTATTTAAATATATTTTAAAATGCAATTTATATCTGTGATGGCAAAACTGAATTTTGAGCAGGCATTACTCCAGTCTTCAGTGTCACATGATCCTTCAGAAATAATTCCAAGATGCTGATTTGGTGCTCAAGAAACATTTTGTTTGCTGCATAATATTTTTGTAGAAACATAACATTTTTGTATAAAATTTTTAATAGAAAGTAAATAAATGAAATAAATAGAAGACAGTACTGTCACTTTTGATCAGTTTAATGTGTCGTTGCTCAATAAAAGTATTAAACGGACCCCAATTTTTTTAACAGTAGTGTAAGCCTTATATATACAGGCTGCAGATGAGCAGAAATAAGTTTCAGATTAATTGCAAGTGTAATATTGCATTAAGAAGTTAAGACTCAATATTTTGTTACTTTGTATTATTGCTATGCTTATTTTTGCTTATTGCTTTATTGCTTATTACTTTATATCCACCGAACATCTAGTGGTGTTGAATGAATCAGTGTTTTAAAACAAATCGGTTGAATGAATGATTCAGTGACTCACTCATAAACTTGTTTGGTTCCTAAATGAATCAGTGTTTTAAAACAAATCGGTTGAATGAATGATTCTGTGACTCACTCATAAACTTGTTTGGTTCCTAAATGAATCAGTGTTTTAAAACAAATCGGTTGAATGAATGATTCAGTGACTTTTTGTTTTTCAACAAATTGTTTGTGAATTATTTGCTCACTCAAACACCACCTACTAGTGTAGTGATGTAACATGCAGAAAGTGTACTTTAAAATACTTTCCCATATAAATATTTTAGCTACAAGAAGTTCATGTCAACCACTACTGGTGTGAGTTTAGCTTTGTATTGTACAGATGAATAGACAAAAGCCAGTGCTGCATACATTTAAATGTTTGATTCAGCTGTTTAGATGAATCTCATGCATTTAAATTATAGTTTTAGAAGGCTAGTTGGTATTCAGACATTTTGTTGCTGTACTCACATGACCACTCTACAGGCTTTCCAAATCAGCTGTATGGAATAAAGATTTTAGGCACAATACTTTCGAG